CCGCAATAATCCCATCTGGAGAGGTCAGCAAGACACCGATTCCGGACCCCTTACTATTTGACGAACCGTCCACACACAAAAGCCATGACGATCCTTCAAAATTTGTTGGAGACGCTAAGTCGGGAGGAGGCGGTCCTTCTAGAACAGGATGCTCCCCCCGAAAACTCAACTATGAAGTCTGTCAATATTTGACCTTTTATCGCAGTTCGGGGTTTGAAATGAATGTCGTGCTCCCCCAACTCTACTGCCCACTTGGAAATCCTTCCGGAGAGTTCCGCTTTCCTCAAGATCGCTTTCAAGGGCTGATCGGTAAGGACAGTGATTGGGTGCGCCTGGAAATAATGCCGCAGTTTCCTTGCAGTGGTGACCAGGGATAGAGCCAGTTTCTCTAGGGGTAGATATCTTGTCTCTGCGTCCAGGAGCGCCTTGCTTATATAATAAATCGGCTTCTGGCGGTGCTCATGCTCACGGATAAGTACCCCGCTTACCGCAAACTCAGATACTGCCAGGTACAAGAACAACATCTCCCCCTGGATGGGGACGGACAAGGTTGGAAGAGTCCTTAGGTATTCCTTGATTCCAGCCAGGGCGTCCTCGCACCCCTGGCTCCACATATTCTTCCCAGCACTCTTGATTGCTCCGAAAAAGGGTTTGCATTTGTCCGAGGAGCGTGAGACGAAACGGTTAAGTGCAGCCAGCATCCCTGTGAGTTTCTGGACTTCTCGGACAGTGCGGGGGCTCCGGATGTCCAGGATCGCTTGAATCTGATCTGGGTTGGCTTCGATTCCTCGTTGACTAACCAGGTATCCGAGGAATTTACCTGATTCCACTCCGAAAACGCACTTTGCCGCATTCAGCTTCAGCCCATACTCCCTGAGGGTGGAGAAGGTATCCGCCAAATCTGTCAGATGATCACAACTCCGTTTGCTCTTCACCAGCATATCGTCTATGTAGACCTCCATGGTGTTGCCGATCTGCTTTTTGAACATCCGATTCATCAGTCTTTGGTATGTTGCCCCGGCGTTCTTTAGTCCAAACGGCATCACTTTGTAACAGTAAACTCCCTTCGGAGTGATAAACGCCGTCTTTTCCTGATCCGGGGCATAGAGAGGGATCTGATGATATCCTGCTCGGGCATCCAGGAAGTCCATTCGTTCATATCCGGCAGTGGCATCTACCAGCTGGTCCACCTTTGGCAGGGGGTAGTCGTCCTTGGGACATGCCTTGTTTAGATCTGTAAAGTCTACGCAGACACGCCATTTCCCCCCTTTCTTCTTTGCGCACACCGTATTAGACAGCCATTCTGGGAACTGTATCTCTCGAATGGCGTCGGCCTTCAGGAGTTTGTCGATTTCCTCGTTGACCGCGCTGGTGTGATGCGGGGCCATGCGTCGTGGCCTCTGTTTGACTGGCTTGTGCGACGGGTCAACATGCAGCCTGTGTGTGATTATCTCGGGGTCTACCCCCGTCATTTCCATTTCGTTCCACGCGAACACGTCTGTATTTCCCCTTAGGAACTCGATCATCTCCTCCTGTTCGGCTGTGGGCATCGAGGTCCCAACTAAGAAATACCTCTCTTCTTCTCCCTCCACCAAGGGTACCTTCCGGAGGTCTTCTACCGACCGCTCAGTTGGGTCTATCCGGGGGTCATCCATTCCTGGACGCCCGGACTGTAATTGCTATTTTTCCATAATCTCTTCCGGTGCTCGCCCCTTCTCCTGGCTGAACGCCCCGGCTCGAACGGCTGAATAAAAACAATTTTTCGCGGACGCTTGGTCCCCCCGGATCTCCATGATACCCTCTGGCGTGGCGAATTTTAATTTCTGGTGGAAAGTGGAGTGCACCGCACCCAACGCATGCAGCCATGTTCGCCCCATAATCACGTTGTAGGGAGAGTCCGTATCGATCACAACAAACTCTGTGTCGATGATAAAGGGACCAGTGGCAACTGGCAATGTGATTTTCCCCACGGGCAAGGCGAATGAGCTGTTGAACCCGATGAGGGGTGTCCTGACTTTGGTGAGGTCTTTGGGGCCAAAGCCCATCCGTTTCAAAGTTTCGAAGTACATCACCTCCGAGGAGCTTCCAGAGTCTATCAAAATTCTCTTGACATCGAATTTTCCTATCCTTAGGGTCAAGACAAGGGCGTCATTATGGGGGGTCACTACGCCTGTCAAATCTGCGTCGGAGAATGTAATGGCAAGCTCACTCGTCCTGACCCTTTTACTTGATGGCCCTACATCACCCTCGGCTACCTTCCTCATAAAAGTTACCCTCTTGAGGTCGGACTCGAGTTTCNAATCGGGTTCTGAGATCAACTTCTTCCCTGGCGGGATGCCTTCTGAAGTCCTTCAGTTTGTCGGTAAGCCCCTCATTTCCCGGGTGTCGTGTGGATTGGGTTGAGTACNTCCTGGACGTGGGGCGATCCAGGGGACATATATGAATGACGTCTATGATGTTGTCCGGTTCCTCGGTCGGGGCAAGGGTTCGTCTCTCTTCTGGCCTGGGCTCGATGTACTCTTTCAAATGTCCGTCTCGGACCAAGCTTTTCNTGAGAGGTTGTCATGATGATGCTCGCCGGCTCTAGGTCGCTTTGGGGCCCTAGAGCTTTCTGCTTTGTTGTTTAGATGGTTTCTTAGGTCCTTCGTTTCCTCCTCTCGGGCGGGAAGTCCACGGGAAAGGAATGAATCCCTAGACCCCCCGCCAGAGGCGGCAAACTCGTCGAGCCGGCTTAGGACGTTTACATTGTCCTTTTCCAGCTGACGTAATCTATCACCAAATTTTTCTTCAATCACCTCCGCCAGCTGACGAGCCAAAGGGGCTGATCCCCTTGACCTGATTCCCATGCTGGTTTGAGGGATAACCCCTCTTGACCGAGTAGAGACACTTTTATTCGTGTTGGTGTGATCCCTTCCTCCGTGATGACAGGGAGCTTGTAACTCGAGACTCCTTTGGTGGGGTCCTTTACCTTTTTGTCGAGTGTTCACCATGGTCACTGTTCTTTATAGAGAAAAAACTAGGAAAACTAGTCGTTTCCCACAGACGGCGCCAGATTGTGCGTGCAAGATCCTGCACAATATAAAAAACGAGAACAGATCTCTCCCTTGGTGAACTCGAGTGAGCCGGTTGAGTGACCAAACACGCTGCTTGGGACAGCCTGCAAGGTACGGTGGTAACCTGGAACGGCAACGGGAGACCCTGGGAACGGAAGAACGATCCAGTAAGGCTGAAAGAGGTTCCTGGAACAAAGAAGAACAAGTTAGAAGGGCGCCGGAGTGTTTTTCGGCGTATCCCCTCCGACGATCTAGTCAGTCTTTGAAAAAGAGAGGAAGGAGAAAACACTGAGTGTGTATTGTAGTAGAGAGTTTGTTGTTGCATACCCGCTTTGCCTTTTGCAAGGAGTATTTATACCTTAAAAGCTCATGATTGCTGTCAGTGTGGTCAGTAGGTGATCATTAGGCACAGGTAGCGTGTGCATTGATTCTGATGAGGAATGTCTTCTCTAATTAACTGCTCGGGGTCCCGAGCAATCAATGCTGGGTCGTCGGGATGCCGACGGTACAATGTGCTCCTCTCGGGGAGGATGCAATAAATGCTCTGTAATAGGAGCATTTATTGCCTTTCATTTCCGAGCCTTACCGCATTGAATGCGGTCTCATCAAGGGAATGGTGCAATTAATTGTTTGCTTTCCCAAGTCGCGTGTCAGCAACGGCATGCGGTTTGTCTGTCTTTGATGTGATATCATATGCCACGCGTCCATCCCCTATTGGCTGTGACCTCTGTATTCCAGTACGTTCTGACATTACTTGTGTAAGACGAGGTCATGATGAATAGCCTAGACTAGCCTAGGCTAATGACCTGTACGTCAATAGCTTATCCTGGAGTAGAGGAAGCATCCAAGACGGGGTACCTCTCGGCACCGAGGAAAGGCTCATCTCGGGGACCGAGGGAGGTATGCCGACCGAGGTACATATCAGACCGAGGCCACGTGTCGGTTGTAAAATATACTGAATGTATGATCCTATATGACGGTACCTCGGGGGCGAGGACATTCGTGCGCCGATGGTGCTTGATCTTAGCAACAGTGTTTTAGTAAAACCGAGGACACGTGTCTTCATCATAGGGTATTTCAGAAAAGTCTCATCAATTATGTTTAATCTTAACAATTCTACCCTCGTCTAAATATCACTTACAATGTAAGAACTAAATTAGAATAAAAAATTGGAAAGATTAACAACAGAAACACATTTGAGTTTCGTTATCCCTGAGTGAACCATGTTTGTAGTCAATTGTGTTGCAAACGTGACCACCATTGACAACGTACACAATCCCTATATAAAAACACATAACCAACCTTATTAATACATAAAGCAATAACTCACAACGATGTCAACTGTAAATACACTCGTATACATTCATTTTACCTTTTTTTTTTGACGTAAAGTTAAAGATGTCTAATTTTATTTTATTTTCAATTGGTCTTGTGTCAAAATAATTAGTAGAACTTGAGTTATGATAAAAAAAAAAAAAAAAAGTAGACACAGGTCAAAATTGACTGATGATCCGAGAAATCAAGTTTATGAGCCATCTTCCGATGATCAAATATTGGGTTTTTGTGGTCCGTTTTAAGCCCATCACCTGTTGAATCGAAGGTCATGGAGTCTATTATCATATCATGAAATTTGTATCTAGTTTTAATAATTTTAGATTTGGATTTTGACCATTTGAAATGAAGGGTGTCCAACTAAAAAAAACACATAACATACATTTCATGCATTGTAAGTGCACAGGCCTGTATTTTGGGGCATGTACATTGTAAATGTATATCTAACATTCAATATATTATAATGTGTGGGGTATTGTATGTTTTAGGCAAGGATGAGGCCCTAGCTCCGGTTTCTCCCTCCCGACGGTCATAGACTTGGATTTCTTGCTAGGCTCTTTTGAATAGATTTTCATATGGGAATCCGATATATCTTTATTCTTGCTTAATTATGTGATGCATGTATTTATGTTATATCAAATGTATATTTTTGATGCAATATTGATATGTTGAGTGTGTGGTGGAGCATGGATATGATTTTATACCTATCAATGTGTATTTTGGTGTTGAGACTATATTACAATGTTATAATGTTGCCTCTTGTGTCAGAGGTATATGGAAGCGGGAGTTCTATGTTGAGAGTTTCCTTGTATGCATGATTTCCCGTCCTAGGAGTTTGGACAATCTCTCTATAGATTTTGTAATTTATATGCACGATTTCCCTTCCTTTGGACTTCGGACGATTTCCTTTATGGACTTCGTGATTGACCCTTGAAATCACATACTACCCAAGTGCTATGATGATTGCCGAGGTCGCGGCCTGCCTTAACTCATGGTTGTAGAGGAAAGCAACCCATTATTATACATGTATCGTGTTGTGTTCATGCATTGTTATTTATAAAACGTATGTAGACTAGTTGTACCAATTTTGAGGGGCAATGTAAAAATGAAACTTGACCCTTTTAAAGGATGTTTATAGAAACTAGTTACCAGTATGAGTTTTGCGATTCCCGCTAGTTTGGGAATGGTTTTATGAAATATGAAAAAAAAAAGTTTTTATGCAAGGTACGTGATTATTGAGAAAAGTGTCTTTATTGTTATATATATTTTCTTTCGATAAAATGTGTCATGTGATAAATGTTTTAGAAATATTTTGTGCTAGCATGATTTAAGGCTTTACATACATTTGTATCACATGAGTTGTAGTGGACATCAACTCACCCCCACATAGACTTTTGGCTATTTTTGCAGGTACACGATCATACGTTTAGGTCGAGGTCCACTTGGTATAGTCTAGGGTACTTAGTGGGGGTTGAGCTACTAGTAGTATTTATTAGCAACATATCACAGCTCGGCATGTCTAACAACCGTGAGAGTCTATGGAGAGATAAGGATGCTCGAAATTCTTGGAGAAAAAAGGGCGAAGATTCTTACAATCTAGCCTCAATCAGTGGAGAGCCTTCAAAAAAGGAAAATCAGCATGATGATCCAACAAACTCCAACTGATGAGGGATTCTCTGTTATCAAGCAAGCTGTCCAACGTAACAAATGGAGATCATTTTGGCTGTCAAATCAGAATCAATCAAGGATCCTCTATTATCAAGCAAGTTGGATCCTCTGTTATCAAGCAAGTTGTCCAACGTAACAAATGGACATCATTTTGGCCGTGAAACTAGAACCAACCAGATTTCATGGGATTTTTTTTTAATGTAATTGTGTTTACATACTTCATTTGTATAGCCTAAGTGTTCACGTTGAAATTTAATGCAAAACTCTTCCAATATTATTTTCAAAACAAATTCTCTATTCTATTTTTTTTCGTCACAAAACTAGTGTCAAAAGCAGCTCTTCATTATTTCCACAACAAACTTTATCTTCAGCCCTGGCAAAGTTTTCGGGAGGGTATTAGCAACATATCACAGCTCGGCATGTCTATCAACCGTGACAGTCTATGAAGAGATAAGGATGCTTGAAATTCTTCGAGAAAAAAGGGTGAAGACTCTCACAATCTAGCCTTAATCAGTGGGGAGCCTTCAAAAAAGGAAAATCAGCATCATGGTCCAACAAACTCCAACTGATGAGGGAATATCTGTTATCAAGGATCCTATGTTATCAAGCAAGCTGTCCAACGTAACACATTGAGATCATTTTGGCTGTCATACTAGAATCAATCAAGGATCCTTTATTATCAAGCAAGTTTTCCAATGTAACAAATGAAGATTATTTTGGCTGTCAACCAGAACCAACCAAATTTCATGGGTTTTTTTTTCAATTTAATTGTCATAGGTCTTGACACAAGGTTAGAATTCTATCTCTTCTAGAGTGGTATCTCACTGATGACTTGGCCCCCTGGAAGGAGGCTTTCTTCCCAACCAGATTTCATGGGATTTTTTTTTCAATGTAATTGTGTTTAAATACTTTATTTGTATAGCCTAAGTGTTCATGTTGAAATATAATACAAAACTCTTCCAGTATTATTTTCAGAACAAATTCTCTCTGCTATTTTTTTTCCTTTAGTATTTTGTCTTCCGCTGTGTGTTTGGGACTGTCATTTTTGTCTGCATGCCATGTATATACATTTCGCTATGGTGCCTAGGAGGGTTGTCCCAGCTTTGATCTGGAAATGTTTCTCTTATATTACATTTTTTATTGCTATTTTTTTCCTGATGTTATTATGATGAGGGTTGATGTTAGAGTATGAAAACCCTTAGTCAGCGCACCCAAGTCCAACGGCCCGTGCATTATGCCTCAGGTTAGTGGATCGGGGCATGAAAGAGAGTGTGGATTTCACTGGAATGAAGAAACAAATCTCACCAGTTAAGTTGAGTAGGAAGTGCTCGAGCCATCGTTAGACCGCTCGAGCAGTCTACAGGCCGGGTGCATCTAATTGTGAATTTATGCATGCACACCTACCCGGGTGTCACACAAGTGTTGCTATATCATATGAACACATCCACACTCTTCTGTCATGTGTAGATTTTTTTATGTTAAATAATACTAATAGGTCTTTGGTCTAATGATACTCCTTATCTTGTAAAAATTTTACTTTCTTGAGGTAAAGGGTTCAAGAACTCTTTCCTCTTCCCGTTCCCCTTCCCACTCCCCACCCCCCAAAAAAAATATATATATATATATATATATCACTTTTACTAATATTAATTAACCAGGCTTTTGTCTTTTGATGAAATTGATTTTTTGCTCAACTGAAAATACTTGAAAAAAAGTGTAGCTAAGGATCATTTAAATTTTTGAGTGGTTCTACTCTTGTTTCACAAGTCTATACTCTCACCCTTTTAAACTCTCAACCATAAATAACTAAGTTTACCTTTTTTATACCCACCCCACTAATTACTAAACTAATCTCAATCTTCATCTTTAGGATTTTTTTTTGGTGTTAATTGTATTGGATGTCTCTAAAGTATGAAGTTTGTCTCATTTTGATTTTCAATATTTTAATTGTATCATTTTAGCCCCTGCAGTATTGAATATATTTTTATGTGTTCCATTATATAAACATTGTTTAAATTGTTAACAATTTTTTATTATAAATTTATTACGTAATACCTAAATATGGACAAAAAATAATTTAAATAACTTTTGACTAAATTTCTACAGTTAAAGAGATATTTAAATTCATTGTTCTGATCATGAATTATTCAAATTTTGGTCAAAAGATACCCAAATTATTTTTTGCCTATATTTAAGTATTACGTGACAAATTTATGATAAAAAACCATTAGCAATTTATATGTTGTCTACTTGAGGGACATCATAAAAATATGTTTAATATTTCAGGAGACCAAAATAATACAATTAAAATATTAAAGACAAAAATGAGAAAAATTCTATACTTTGAATACATCTAGTGCAATTAACCCTTTCTTTTTATACCCCATTTTACACGCCCTGTACAAAAATATACTTAGCTTATTATCTAGTATAGATCTCTCAAGTGATATTGACTAAACAAGTTTTATTTTTTTGTATGTTTTTTTTTATTAATATCAATAACTTTATTTAAGATTTGTATATAATATATACTTAACTTGTTTTTTTCTTGAAGATAAATATACAAGGCATGATTAGAATATAAAAAATATTTGAGCGAAGGTGGATCTATTTTTTTTTTTTTTAACATTAAAAAAAAGAAGATTTTTTTGTATATTTTATTTGTGATGTAATTAAGAAGAACTTTTTTATGACTTTTTTATTTTTGTTAAACATTTTCATAAGGTGGGTTTTGTCATTAATTGTGTATAGAGTGAGGTGGATTTAGTCAATACTGATGTGGTTATAGTAAGAGTGAGCTTAGTAATTTTATAATTGAGAGTTTAATGAGATAAAAAAGAATATTTATGGGATAAAAATAGCCCCTAATCCTAATTTTTGTTGTCCCACGTTGAGACTCAACCTATATATAGGTCAAAGCTCCCCATAAAAAACTACAACAAAAGATGCACGAATAAATATTACTGACATCCCTAAGGTATATCTAAAACACACTGTTTCTTGAGAAAATCTTTGAGGTTCAAGATCCATCTATAGTCAACCCCTCGCTGTTGTTAATTGATTGTTGTTTGACTGAATAGACTTTGCGTCATGATCAGTAACTTTGACGGAATACCCGGCCCAATACTACTCGAGGCCATGGCGAAAATTATAAATGTGACTTTTTAAAATTTAATATTAGTATATAAGTAATACAACTAAAATTTTATTTTAAATTTATTATTTATTATTTTTTGAGATGTAAAAGTACTAATTAACTATCCATACTTAAGTTTTATTAATATTGATGATGCATAAAGTTAATTATACACAATCAAAACAATCGAGTGTGTGATGTAATGTAATTAATAAAACAATCAATAATAAGAGACAAAGATTAAGTAGTTGAATCTAGTTGACCTAACCACTGAAAACGGTAACGGTAACCGAAGAACTCTATTAATGAGAGAACACATGGAAGTAAGAGAGAGACATCAAGAATACGTTCAAGGTGAGGTGTGTAAGATCTATTATCATGTGTGGGGAGATTTACAATTTATAGACACCGAATTTTAGTTGAGATAGTGATGTCAAGGTCAAGTTACTATTTGATAGTTATAGTTGGGGATTGACAGTATCTTGAAGTAATGACTATACTAATGATTGTTCTCCCACGTGTGACTCTTTTTGTACTCTTGAACTTCGAGCTAAACCGAGGCCATGAGCTAAACCTAGTCTGCATTTTGATGATTTGGACTTAACCCATGAATTAGACCCAAGTCTGATCTAGATTTAGGCTCGTCAAATATATCATTTTGAATATATAGTATGGCTAATTTACTCAATATTTTGTGACATAATTCAACACAAATAGGAATAGTTTTAATTTTAAAAATCAAAATTTGCAAGAGCAATTGGTCTATGTATTCTCAATACTATCGTATAAAAAATACATATATTCAGAAAAAAGCCTAATATAATAGAAAAAAAAAAGAAAAAGGCTAGTCTTTCTATACAGTTTATTGTTCTGAATGAAATATTAGTGTTTGTTTGTAAAATCATTTTACATTTTTAGCTCAGAAATAAATCTAACATATGTATATCAAAAAGCTGATCACATTTTACAAATTTATCAAGATTTTCATAATATGCATTTAAATTTGTGAGTTAACGTATAAAAATGAGATAAATTACTTGAGAGTAATGTTGTTGAGACCTACCTTCTGAAAAAATGTTGTTGAGACCTACAAATCTAATATAATTTGTTGACTTAGTAATATAGTCATATCAGTTAAACGAGACCTTATGACATAATATATCATTAAATCATCAAATTAGATCTCTTGCTCATGACTTAATAATTTGACACAAAAAACCAGATATATAAAATAGTGTTGAACTTGAAGTTATCTTACATGTCCTAAAAAGAGAAGACTTTCTATATATTATGTGGGTAAATAAAAAGAAAAGTCTAAAACAAAAAAATACTCCTATATTTATTGATGATGTAGAAATTAGTTTTACACATCACATGTCAAGAAATTAATGAATTAATGCAAATAATAAAATAGAGAGAGAAAACTCAATACAAGCAACACATAATTTAAGTGACCTATTTCATTGTGAAAGGCTGGGTGGTTTGCTATTGTAGGAGTGTAAGGAGATCAGGTGAGAACAATGAAAGTTCAGGTGGGAGTAATGAGAGCTGTGAGGTACAAGATGTGAGAGATATGAGAGTGATGCCAAAAATGATACCTTGTGTGAGATGCCCCCATGTGTAGGTGGGCTTACATTTTATAGTCGCCTTCTACCAAATTGAGACGGCTTATCAGTAACTAATAGACTAATTTGGTGGAGGTGGCGTCATTTTTGCAACAGATAAGGCTGTTGTAGGGCTTTCCTCAAGACTAGGTCTTATGATGACATGATTGACTTCCTTGCTCCTTACTCCAAGGTGGCATGGATGAGGCTCTTGGGATGGCGTTGTCTACCCTTGATGACGTGGCTCTTGGATCCTTGATGAGTTTAACTAGGAGTGGATCTTTTTTGGGTTAGTCCCATTGGGTTTCGTATAGGTGGATCCTTTATTCAAGTTGGGCCCGTAACCTGAGTTGGGTCTTGGTCCAGGCCCATCTTTTGTCCCCCAATGTCTCGAGTCCAATAAAACTTAGAGAAGAGGGCATTTAATTGGATTTGGACACTGGCTGACGAATACTCCTTTTGATTGATGACCCCTTTTCCTTCTTGACATGGTTCTTTCCCATAAGACATTCCTTGCTGCAATAACTCTACCATATTCCATAACTAAATAGGATTTTTTAAAACCCTAGGCAATAAATAGGGGGCTATAAATAGGGGCTTTTCCCTTTCTTTTAATTCCATTCACCCTTGTGGTGAGATGACCATGAGTGGAAGCAAGTTGAGTGAGGCAAGGGTGGTTACCCATGAGCTAGGTGACTAGAGACCATTGTCGGATAAAGGAGGGGAGATGCAAGAAGCTATTGACATCAGAGAGGAGGTAGGCAACAACAGAGCAAATGGCATCGAAGTTGGTGCGCAGGTAGGTGTCGGCGACGCAACAGGCGTCATCTAGGTAGGGGCCATCGCGGATGTCATGGAGGCTAGAGCCCAAGGCGGCGTTGGAGGGGCAGGGGCCCAAACGGGCATCAAAGAGGCAGTGACGCAGGGTAATGAGGGCGAGGTGCCTTGGGATGTCGAGCACACCGCGACATGCGCCATTTGAGGAGGAGCAGGCATGCCAAGGACGGCGCTGCTGGGCGAGCCCGCCAGTGGTGGTCTCGCTGGGCTCAGATGTGCGAGCACATCTGCACTGTGCGAGATAGGGGCATCGACGGGGAGAACCAATAGCGGCAGCAGTGGATGCTAGGCATGAAACTGCACAGGAATAGGAGAAAGGGACACCATGAGTTAGGCGCCAGGAGGGGGTCCATAAGGTTGGGCTCCAGTAGGGTGCGCTATAAACAAGACATGTAGAAGGGGCACCATGAGGTTGGGTGCCAGGAGTAGAGGAGCCAGTACCCAAGAATAGGTGCCAAATCTTTAGTGTTGGGAGCACACAGGCCTTGCCTGCATTAGGTGTTAAACGCAAGAGCATTGCAATAACGAGACGGTGGTGTCGGATGGCCGCAAAAATGATAAAGCCCGATTGTTGACATTCAATCTAATGTAGTCTCTTGGGTTGCAAACAACTTGAGTTTCAAGAATGTGCCTAGAGATGACAAAAATAATGTTATTTAAACATCAAAATATCCAACATGATTACATGGAGAGAGAGACAAACACATCGGGTTGTAGAGAAATAGAGGCTGCTTGCGTGAGAGTAAAGACAAAGTTTGAGGGTTTCTCGTGAGAGAGCTGCACCTCTTCAGACCGAGCTTTTGACGACCCATGAGAGAGTCATTAAGTTGGAGGTAGGCTGATTGTGAGGCTTCCCACATGAGAGTAGAGGCAGAATTTGAGGGTTACTCGTGAGAAAGTTGCACCTTTTGAGACCAAACTTTTGGCGATCCACGGAGAGTCGCTAAGCTGGAGATAGGCTGACTTTGAGGCTACCTGGTTAAGAGCAGAGGCAGAATTTGAGGGTTGCTCGTGAAAGAGCTGCACTTTTTGAGACTGAGCTTTTGCTGACCCGTGAGAGAGTCGCTAAACTGGAGGTATAGGTTGCCTGCTTGAGAGTAGAGCAGAGATTGACCAAGCTTTTGGCGAGCCGCAAAAGAGCCACTAAGCTGGAGACATAGGTTGCCAGCTTGAGAACAGAGCAGAGATAGACCAAGCTTTTGCCGACCCGCGAGAGAGTCTCTAAGTTAGAGATATAGGCTGCCTAATTGAGAGCAAACAGAGATACACCAAGCTTTTGGCAACCCGCGAGAGAGCCGCTAAGATGGAAACAAAGAAAAGATAGGCCAAACTTTTGGCGACTCACGAGAAAGCCGCTAAGTTTGAGACATAAGTAATCTGCTTGCGAGCAAAACAGAGATATACCAAACTTTTGGCAACCCACGAGAGAGCTGTTAAACTGGAGATATAGGCTGCCTGCTTAAGAGCAGGGCAGAGATAAACTAAGCTTTTGACGACCCGCAAGAGAGCCGCTAAACTGGAGACATAGACTGTTTGCTTGAGAGCAAGACAGATATAAACTAAGCTTTTGGCGACCTGCGAGAGAGCCACTAACCTGGAGACATAGGTTGTCTGCTTGGGAGCAGAGTAGAGATAGACCAAGCTTTTGGCGACCCACGAGAAGGTTCACCTCGCTTGGACCTGGTGATATCCTCAATATTCATATATTTTTGAACTTTTGCCAATAGTTCTAGCATACTTTTTGATGGTTGTTTCATTATTGAAAAGAAGAAGCGGAGGCCTCCTAGGAAGGCAGTCATGGTGACTTTGTCATTGGCCTCCCAGGAAACGTCTGCCACTACATTTGCCTTTCCTGGATGATAATGAATAGTGTAGTCGTAATCCTTTAATAACTACATCCATCTCCTCTGTCGTAAATTCAACTCTTTTTGTGTGAACAAGTACTTTAAGCTTTGATGATCAGTATAAATTTCACAAGTCTCTCCATATAGGTAATGTCTCCACAATTTCAAGGCGAACACAATTGCAGCCAACTCCAAATCATGGGTAAGGTAATTACGCTCGTGAGTTTTTAATTGTCGAGAAGCGTAGGCGATCACCCTCCCATTTTGCATTAATACACAACCCAACCCCCGATGTGAGGCATCACTGTAGACTACAAAATTCCCTCCTTCTGTTGGAATGGTTAAAACAGGTGCAGAAACCAACCTTATTTTCAAATCTTGGAAACTTTGTTCACACTTATCATCCCATTGAAATTTAACATCCTTTCTAGTGAGGCGGGTCAACAGTATTGCAATTGAGGAAAATCCTTAAGTGAATCTATGATAGTAACCCGCCAATCCTAAGAAACTTCTTACTTCTGTTACATTCCTTGGTTGCTCCCATTTTACGACGACTTCAATTTTCTTTGGATCCACTTGAATACCATCTTTTGACACCACATGTCCAAGAAATACCACGCTATCTATCCAAAATTCACATTTGCTAAATTTGGCGTACAGTTGTTTTTCTTTTAAAATTCGCAAATGTTTCTCATGTTCTACTTCATTACGAGAATACACCAAAATATCATCTATAAACACAATTACAAATGAATTCAGGTAGGGTTGAAACACCTTATGCATCAAATCCATAAAAACGGCCAGAGCATTTGTTAATCCAAATGACATAACTATAAATTCATAGTGCCCGTTCCTAGTTCGAAATGTCGTCTTTGGTACATCAGTTATCTTTACCCTTAATTGGTGATATCCAGATCTTAAATCAAATTTGGAATAGACTTTTGTTGCCTACAATTGATCAAACAAATCATCTATTCGTGGCAATAGGTATTTATTGCGAACAGTTACCTTATTAAGTTGTCGATAATCAATACATAGTCGTATAGTGTCATCTTTCTTTTTCACAAATAGCACTGGTGCTCCCCATGGTGAAGTACTCGGTTGAATAAAACCCCAATTCAATAAATATTGTAACTATTCCTTCAACTCTTTCAACTCAGTTGGTGCCATTCGCAATGGGGCGATTGATATGGGTGCAGTTCCGGGTAGTAATTCTTTCACAAATTCTACTTCCCAATCCTAGGTAATTCATCCAGAAAAACATCAAGGAAGTCCTTCACTACTGGTACCTTTGTTGGTTCAACTTTATCCTCACCCACACACCTCACATATGCCAAATAACCTTGACATCCCTTTTTAAGCAATCTTCGAGCTTTGATTGCTGATATAAGACAATTTGGAGTTACTTTTCGTTCACCTTGGAATTTAAATTCAGCATCGCCAAGTGGTTGAAAAGTAACCTCTTTTTTATAACAGTCAACCGAGGCATAATAAGCTGATAGCCAATCCATCCCCAAAATTACATCAAAGTCACACATATTGAGTGGAAGTAAATCCATGAATAATTCTCATGTGTCAATTCGAATTATGCAAGTCTTATAAATAGTGCTAACTACCACTACCTCACCTATCGGGGTTGCTATAGATAAATGACAATTCAAAGGTGTGACAGGGTATTTCCAATGCTTACTATAGGGGTGTGCAACAAAAGAGTGTGTGGATCTGGGATTAATTAAAGTTCAAACGTTTTCACCTAATACAAAAATTGTACCTGTAACCACATTGGGCGACGCATAAGCATCCTGCTGTGTCATAGTGAAAACCCGTCCCTGAGTCCCGGTAGCACCAACAGACCCCTTATCTGCACCTTGCATCCCTGTCGATGTTGATGTATCTCTTCTCCCCAGATTTACACTACCCACTAAAGGTGACATGACAGATTTGGTTGGACATTCATGTGATGCCCCAAAATTCGGGGGTCCATTGATTACCCATCAACCCGCGGAATACCTGTGGATACCAAGTAGCTCGATATCACACCGTTATGCCTTATTTATCGAGGTCCTTAATTTAACAAAATTCGGACAGAGTCTCCTTTGTACGGAGAGCCCTACCCAAAACACGACCTATGCAATATACATTAACATGACCCGTCCAAGGTCCCATATAACACCATGACCACACAGGGTCCATTTATAAGTAAAACTTGACCACACCGGGTCCAATCATCCATATTTATATCAAAACATGCAAGGTTAGTTTAACAATAGTCCATATAAGTTCTATTACAATTTAAAAGATTACATGCTTAAAACATTCTTTCCACAAATATTTTACATCAACACAAAATAAAGCCACATTCGGCTTTCTTCACCCTTGCGGCCTTGAATGAAAGCCGTCCACCAGCGTATATCCCGTACCTGAATTGTTTTTTGTATAGGGTGAGCCACGCCCAGTAGAGTATTTCCTACAGAGGCTACTCCCCACCTAAGTGCACATGCAATGTTCACATTTAACATTTCATATTCCCATCAACATTCCAAGTAAGAATATGCAATTCTAGGTTGAAATTCTACCATGCCATGCTATGAAATGAGATGAGACTCACTCATGCAGTTTACCCCGAGTCTCCACCGACTCCCACAACACAATGCAGTGCCACCGTCATCTATGTTACACATGAAATGACATGTTTATATAAATCCAGGGTTTTTCTTGGGGGTGGGTATTTATGGACTTACACCAACGGCACCCGACCGACACGGAATTCATGGACTACTACCAACGATTCCGCGTACACCGACACACTTTTTGGACTCTTATACCAATAGAATGCGGATCCAATTACCAGGTCTTTCACCCGAGGGATATTCGAGCCTTTCTTGCTAACCCTGACCCAATTTTCTTAAAACCATGTGACTCAGTCGAATCATCAATCCAACATTCCCAAGCCCACTCGTCATACACCAAATGAGGTGAAGACGACAACCATGAACACACACCCTCAATATGCGATGTCCCCGTGCATATGCAATGTAATGTACGATTGCATGTCAATGTCATGTCTCATGTGTAATGAATGTCACATGAACAACTTAAATCACACATTTCATCATGTATCATGGACAATTATATCATACTCATATAACCTCCACAAAAATAACTCATCACAATGTGAATATATTGTACACACATATTAACATTTTTTTTCAACACAATCCATAAGCTTGTTACTAATCATGTTACTACGCATGTTACTAAGCATGTTACTACATAATCAAGCAATAACACACTTAACTCTCAAGGCATCAAGTAAACACTTAGTATGCCCATAAAACAGCCCCAAATTAGGTCATGTAGCAGCCCAAAAACAAGCCACAAAATAGTGTACAAACAACCCCTAATTAGTATACAAAATAGCCCCTAATTAGTGCACAAAACAGCCTCAATTTCAGCACCAAAACAGTCCACAACATGACCTAAAAACAGTCCAAAATTCAGCCCCTTGGACAGCCCACATACAACCCAATTTCAGCCACTAAAAGCCACTTAAAATAAGAATAAAACCAAGGTAGGAGGGAACCCTACCTTAATAGAAGTGTAAGAACTTCTATAACACCAAAACAACCTCAAAGCTTTGATTTT